GACAAATTAGTGAGGCCACTCTTCCTTTCTTGATGTAACTCTAAGAACTGCATGACCATGAGCAAGGCTCAGATCAAGCCTGTATTCCGCCCCCCCTTTTTTTTTTCCTACTCTGAGCACATCATTTCTTTGCCCTTCCTTTAACTGGTTGTTCTATGTAGTTTTACATTTCTAGGCAACTCTAAATTTTCATGTTGTCATTAGATGGAGAGAGCTGGCAGTTCTAAAGATAAAAGTGCCTTCCTTTCTGGTGGACTAGAAGTGAGGACAGATGAGTTGATGGGGTGTCATCACCACATTATGGACTCAATCTGTTCCTACCTCCAGTTGGGCTTGAATCAAGTCATCTGGTCTTGTGCACAAAGACCTGTCTGCCAGTTACTAGCTGTGTTATTGGGACTACTTGCTTAATCTTCCTGGCTCTTGGCTTTCTTATCTACCGCTTATAGAACAAAGTATGTTTCAGGTGATATAATGTTCATCAGCTTTAAAGCATGTTCCTGTATTTCAGTGTCAATATATTAATTTTTGTGGGATACAAATACTCAGTTCCTAATACAGCAGGCCCTAAGTTGTCTTCTGCCTTTTACTTTAGCCTCATAGTTGTTTTTTTTTTCCCCAAGCAAATATCAACATATTTATTTTCAGTGTTTTCACTGGAATAATTTACTTCTACCATTCTGGTCAATCCCAGACCAGCTCTGACATATCTCAACATCTGTCTTAGTATCTCTTATTGGGGTTCATTCTGGTCTTTCCTTAGGTTCCACAATACCCTACTCTCCTGGGTTTCTTCAGCTTCCTGTTCACTCCTTTGTCTCTGGACATCCTTCAACTTAGTCCTAGGACTGTGTCTTCTCACTGCATGCTTAACCCAGGCAGTCTCACATCTGTAGCTTCATTTACCACTTACACGTGGAAGACTCTCAAACATAACACAATTATGTTAGCCAGAATTTCATTGCTATGATGAATACCTAAGAGAAACAGTTTAAGGCTTGGGATCAATGGTAGCCTGCTTGCCTCAAATATACGGTGCACTAGGGTCAATCTTTAGTCCACACGTGTGGGGAGAGAGATAGAGAGGGAGGGAAATGGGGTGAAGATTTTTACAATCTTTTACCTCCTCTTCTGTGATGGGGACTTTTGAGGAGAGGGTATGGCATGTATATCACATTTAGAGCTGATAACAGCCTCTTATTTGCATATTGACAAGTTGTGGGCCTCTGTGTTAATTGCTATCTACTAATAAGCTTTTCTGATGAGAGCTGAGAGATGCACTAATCCATAGGTATAACAATAAGTAATCAGGAGTCATTTTAATATGTCTAATTGGCAGAATAACAGTAGCTCCTCTCCTAGGTCCTATCTAGCTGTAGGTTCTTAGCGCCACCTATACCCGGGAGCATTTTGGGCAACGCAAATAGGACTTTATCTCCTTAGAAGAGAGTGAGAGTGAGAATAAGAGAGTGAGAGAGAAATTGACTAAGCAGGGGAGTTGGGATGGATCCGAGAGGAACTGAGGGAGCGGGATAAATATTAAATACATTGTTTCAAATTCTCGAAGAAAATAAAAATATTAAAAAAAGAAAATAAAAATACTGTTTTAAGGGAAGAACAAAATTTTGTTCATGCTTGTTTTTTCCATTTTTTAAAATTTACATTAATCAGGATTCTCTGATTAAAACACATAAAAATCTTTTAGCTTTTTCTTGCTAAAAATCTTTATTTTTATAATTTTTAAAATTTGAACATCTTGACAGAAGGGCTTTGGTGTAAAAGTACTGTTCACTTTGTGATGGGTAGAAAGAGAGAAAAAGGGCCAGGGTCAAGGTAAGTCATTTAGGAAAGGTCCCCATGACCTATTATTCCTTCATCTAGCTCATATCCCAATAATGCCATCATATTGAGAATCCATCCAGGCATTAACCAACTCTCTAGATCAGAGCCCTTAGGATCCAAACACTTCTCCCAAACTTACTAGCAGGTAACTAAGTTCCTAGCACACGAGTCTTTTGAGAGACATTTTGTATCCAAATCATAATGCTAACTTCTATTAGACATTTCTATTTGGATGTTTGAAATACAGATTCAAATTCAATTACAGTCTTAACAAATTCAAAATAGGGCTAAGATTTTATTTCTTAAATTGTGTCCTCACCTGCTTCTCTGCTTTAGAGTTTAGTGCCATTTTAAACCTTTATGTTTAAATCCAGCCACAAAAGAACTCTCTCCGTCTCTCCTTAAAGCCAAACCATGTCCTGGACTTTTAAGTTTCACCATTTTTAAACAGCTTTAGTGAATTATAACAGTAAGTAAAAAACTCTAATGCGCGCAATTGATGATCTTGGACATACTTAATACTCAGGATGCTATCACTCCAGTCAGTGGCATATCCTCCCGCAGTTTCCTCACATTCTTTTCTTTTGGAGAAATGGTAAGGGTACTTGACATGAGCTCAACACTCCCATGTCCATTGCAATATTTCCCACAGTAAGGGAGATGGAAACGTCCCATTTGGATAAATGAAGAAAAATGCTATACACACATAATGGAATATTAGTCCATCTTGGTAAAGAAGGAAACTCTTCAATGTGTGACAGCACAGATAATCCTTGAGGACATTATGCTAAGTGAGATAAGCCAATCACAGAAAGATAAATGCTGATTCCACTTAAGTGAAGCATCCACAACAGTGAAACTTAAATATTTCAATTGATAAACAACTTTCTGTCTTCATTGCTATAACCCTTTTTAAATATGACACTTCTTTATGTCAGGCAACCAACGCAGCTTCCTGATTGGCCTTTCGATTACTTTTTTTTTTGCCATCCTCAATGTGTTCTCTCAACTTCAGCTGGATTGGTATGGAAACTCAAATTAATCATTGTAGCTAGAGTTTTTCTGCCTTGCCCACAGTCAGGACAAATCTCTCTCACTCGCCAGTCCCACAGCCACTCAGACCCAACCAAGTAAACACAGAGACTTGTATTGCTTATAAACTGTATGGCCATGGCAGGCTTCTTGCTAACTGTTCTTATAGCTTAAATTAATCCATTTCCACACATCTATACCTTGCCATGTGGCTTGTGGCTTACCGGCATTTTCACATTTTCCTTTTCCTTGCGGGCAGCTGGCAGTGACTCCTTCTGCCTTTCTGTTCTTTTATTTCTCCTCTCTTTTAGTCCCGCCTATACTTCCTGCCTAGCCATGGCCAATCAGGTTTTATTCATTGACCAATCAGAGCAACTTGACATACAGACCATCCCCCAGCACAGCCAAGTGCAGACTATCTCAGACACCTGCACTCAGGCCCGTGGTCCTAATCATCCTCTATGCGGACCTGCTGGGTAAAGCCACGAGGAACCTAAGAACGGGCTCCCACAGGACATACAGAACATCCTACAGCAAATCATAGGAGTCTCTGATTAAAACACATAAAAAACTTTTAATTTTCTCTTTCTAAAAACTTTATAATTTTTAAAAAGTGAACATACAAACTAATAGGTTTCATTATGGCATTTGCATGAACAATAGTCATTATATTTTGTTCTAATTAATCTCCCACCTCCCTTTGGGTGGTTCTCTCCTCCCTGCAAATAGTACCCTAATTTGTTTTCACATAACATGTATTCTGTGGTGATATATTGTGTACCCTAATAAACTTGCCTGAGGATCAGAGAAGCAGAACAGCCAGCCGCTAGTTCTTACCTCTACAAAATCTTCAGCCTAAAGAGAGTGAGTTCCTGTTTCCTCATGCCTTATATACCTTTCTCTGCCCTGCTATATTACTTCCTGGGATTAAAGGCATGTGTGCTTTCCAGGCAAAGGCATAAGATCTCAAGTGCTGGGATTAAAGGTGTGTGTCACCACTGCCTGACCTCTATGTCTAATCTAGTGGCTGGCTCTGTGCTCTGAACCTCAGGCAAGTTTATTAGGGTACACAATGTATCACTACAGTATTCCATTACCATTTCTTCCCCTTTAAGATCTGTACCTCTGCTTTAATAATCTCTTTTCTGGATGTGTGATGTACACATACATTATATACATATATAGTTTAAAATGTGAAAGAATATGTGTGTCATTTGTCTGAGTCTGACTTATTTCACTTAACATAATGCTTTTCACTTCCATCCATTTTCTTACCAATGTCTTAATTTTATTTTTCTTTATGGCTGAATAAAATTCCATTATGTATATTACCGAATTTTTCTTTATCCATCCATCTGCTGGTGGACATCAAGGCTGGTTCTACCTTCTAGGGATTGTGAACAGTGTAGCAATAAACAATGATGTGCAAGTAAGATTATTTTTTTTTAAGACAAGGTCTCTTTACAAAGCACTGGCTACCTTGGAACTCTGTACAGACCAGGTTGGCCTCAGACTCAAGAGATATGCCTCCTGAATGCTGGGATTAAAGGCATGCACCACCATGCCTGGTCATCATGTAAGATCTTTTCAGTCTGGACCAGAAAATATCTACATCATGTGGCACCAGCTTCCCCAACTAGTTTTATTTCATTTCATGCTCTCGCTTGCAGTCTGTTCAACCATATGATCATTGCCTCAGTTCTGGGACATATGCCCTACTTTTCCCCCTATAGGGCCCTCCTCATACTTTCTCTTTAGCATATGCTCCACTGTTTCTACTCTTCTGTCTTGCAAACCTCAGTCTTTGGAGCCCATTCTTCTGGGATGCTTTGATTAGGGCAGGTGCTCCAAGACATGCGCTCATAGTTTTGTAGCCCTCCCCTAAATAGAATTCTATCACCGTTTATTGGCATGCCGTGACTGCTATAACAAACGGCCACAGACTGGTAGCTTAGCAACAGTCATCTAACCTCAGAATTTTGAGCTAAAATTCCAAGATCAAGGAGTTATCTGATTTGATTTTCCCAAGGCCCCTCCTTCCCCATCTGTAGATGGCCACTCTTAGGGTCTGCAGACAGCATTTTCCTTGTGCCATCCCTGCTCAATTTTTATTTTTCTTGTTTTAGATTAGATACCCATTGACGGGTCTGATTTCACTTGTTTCAAACACAGCTGCATTCTGTGGAACCCAGGGTAGAGCTTCAACCTACACATCGGAATGGTGAGCAATATTCAGCCCATAACAGACAGTTTGAAGCTTTGTAATTATCATTGTCTAGTAATCTGTAATTCAGTGAATACAAGGACATGTCTGTGCAATCCTCCATGGTTATTACCCAATCTGGCAGCACCATAGACAGACCACTTGTTGAGAAAATGAGCACTCACAAAGCAGAAGAACCTGGCAGAGTGGGTTACATCATAATGCACTGCAAGTGGCAGGTGAAACTCATGGTGGTGACACTAGACAGATGGCCCTGCTGACTCAGCATCATGCCTCCTTTTGTCCCGACAATCTTGTTATCTTAAAAAGCATTGACTTCTGAAATCCTGTTGCTGGTTTAAATACTTGGTCTTCCATGCAAGGCTTTAACCAAGTGAGTACAGTACAGGGCAAAATAGCAATAGTACAGCTTTGGTAATTAATAATTACTGATTTAATTTGAATGTGTGTAGTTAGAGTTTTCCTGCCTTGCCCACAGTCAGGACAAATCTTTGTCACCCACCAGTCCCACAGCTGCTCAGACCCAACCAAGTAAACACAGAGACTTTTATTGCTTACAAACTGTATGGTCATGGAAGGCTTCTTGCTAACTGTTCTTATAGCTTAAGTTAATCCATTTCCATAAATCTATACCTTGCCACGTGGCTTGTGGCTTACCGGCATCTTCACATGCTGCTTGTCCTGGCGGCGGCTGGCAGTGACTCCTTCTGTCTTCCTGCTCTTTCTTTTCTCCTCTCTGTTAGTCTCGCCTATACTTCCTGTCTAGCCACTGGCCAATCAGTATTTTATTTATTGACCAATCAGAGCAACACATTTGCCATACAGAACATCCCACAGCAAATGTGTGTGTTTGTGGCAAGTACATTGATCCAAACAAAACTGTTTAAGAGAGGTTCACTCCTTGGCAGCTTTGTGCACATGCCGTTTATATCAGTGAGAGTTCGCCGATGGGCTGCTTGAACACCCAAAGTCCTCATTCCCAATCTCATCAGCCTTCATTCAATTTTAATTAATTTGCTTACTTTAGAATTAGAAAAAGCAAGACATTTACTTTTAATTTCGTGTGTGTGTGTGTGTGTGTGTGTGTGTGTGTGTGTGTGTGTGTGTGTATGTGTGTGTGTGCAGGTGCCCGCAGAGGCCAGAGGAGGTACTGGATCCCCTAGAACTAGACTTTTAGACAGTTGTGGGCAGCCCAATGTGTATGCAGGGAACTAAGCTAGGGTCCTCTGTAAGAGAAGTATCTGCTTTTAATGACTGAACCATCTTTCCAGCCTCCCAAAAATATATTTAAAGAAAATATTAATACTCGCTTTGCATTCAAGGCATACATAAAAGTCTAGAAAAGTATTGTATTGGTAAAATTATTAAGGCCACTTCACGCAGTTAAAAGGGAGGTTTATTTTGTAGGGTAACTTACAAATGAAGGGATAGGCTACAGGATCTGGGAAAGGTGCAGTCTGGTGGTGTTCTCTGGAGAACTCTGCTCAGTCTACCTTCAGTGTCCAGGGTTCAGGAACCAAGAGAGCTGGTGCATCCAGATTTTGGGTCTTCAGGGTCCTCTCTTGGCCCCGCCTTGTAGGTGTGACAGTTACCAAAGCCTCAATGGGGGTTGGAACTTCCAAAGCAAGGCTGGAATGGCTACCCACTACAGTATTGTAAATTAATTATACATAACAGGCACAAAATAATTAGTAGGCCTTGAATATGGTATTTATTTCATGAACTTCTTTGTACGCAGTTTTATAATAAATATTACAGGATTTAAACTATCATGTTAAATAAAATACCAAGGACTTTTGTGCTTCATGTACATTTTTCAATAACAAAGATCTTGGAAAATTACTAATGCAAGCAAGAGTTGACATATCCAATGACAAAACAAACTTACAAGGATTTCTTACATGAGGGGCAGGAGAGGTATCTCAGTCATAAATGAGTAAAGAGCACTTGCTGCTCCAGCAGGGGAGCTGGGTTCAGTTCTCCATATCTACAGGGGGTGTTTCTGAACCACCTTAACTCTAGAGGCAAAGTAGCTAAAGCCCTTTTCTGCCTGCTATGGGCACCAGACATATGCATGGTGCACTTACATATATTCTGGCCTTTCACACATACACCACTATCTGCATCTGGGATCTTAAGACTCTGACTGGGGGTAAGAGGGAACGAAGAAAGGATAGGCACACAAAAAAACTGGAGTCAGGTGGGTGATGCACTCTGATGGACCGACACTAACTACACAGCAACCCCCAACCTCAGTGTACAGCACAGGGAGAGGGGTAGAAAGTCTGCCTTGCCCACAGTCAGGACAAATCTCTGTCACCCGCCAGTCCCACAGCTGCTCAGACCCAACCGAGTAAACACAGAGACTTATATTGCTTACAAACTGTATGGCCGTGGCAGGCTTATTGCTAACTGTTCTTATAGCTTAAATTAATCCATTTCCATAAATCTATACCTTGCCACATGGCTTGTGGCTTACTGGCATCTTGACATGCTGCTTGTCATGGTGGCGGCTGGCTGTGACTCCCTCCATCTTCCTGTTTTCTCTGTTTTCTTCTCTGTTAGTCCCGCCTATACTTTCTGCCTGGCCACTGGCCAATCTGTTTTATTTATTGACCAATCAGAGTAATTTGACATACAGACCATCCCACATCAGTGTACATATACTCTCTCTCACACACACACTAGTGAAGTTACACCATATGGGATGACAATGCCAGCCCCAAAGCCATAGACTATCTAACAAAGACCCTAGTGCCAGGCAAGGAAAACCTCTTTTTGAGTTGTTGGTCAAGGGAGTCCAAGAGACTCTCAAACTCATCCTGTTGCCATTGTGGTTGGTTGCCTCTCAAAGCCTGAAGGTGAGACTCTGTTGCTGAAAACACCACACACTTTGGACAGCAGATTTGGAGGAATCAAAGCTGGAACTGGCCTGGAAGCCTCCTCCTGGAGGACGGTGCCACAGAAGCTGACAAGAGAAAGGAGCAATCATCAGTCCTACTCAGCTATAAAGCTTGTGAACAGCTACATTGCCTGGCCCAGCTAGATATCCCCAATGGTGATCTAATGGCACCTCTATTTTGGGAGAAACCAACAGCTGTCTAATGGAATTTAAGATCTTCTCAATAGATGAGAATTCATGCCCGGAGACGACAGGTTTTTATTCTCACCAATTTGCTTAAATAAAGATAGATTTCATCTTTCTGACCACTAGATGTCATAGTTGTATCACCATGAACACATCATGGCACCACGAGAGCCGACCAGGGCAATTCCTTTAGCATCAAAGAGCTGAAAAAGACCTTACCTCTGAATAAGCTAAACAGAAAGTACATTTTAAAAATAATTTTTATTAAGCAGAAGAAAGATGAAGGAGAAAAAGTTTAAAAGAGCCAAAGGTAATTTTTGCCTAATAAAAACAACCACCTCCATATGTTGAATGCCCTTGTATGCTAAGCACGGTGCTAAACACCTTACACATATTCTCCTGTTTGATGGTTCCTTAGAACAACTGTAGCAAGATGTTCATTCTTACTCTCTCCACATTTTACATTTGAAGAGTCCAAGGCACAGAAAGGTTAAATAGTTTGCTCAGAACCATAAAACCAGAAAGCAATGAAAAAATGACTTAAACATAAGACAATTTTGTCCTTAGCTACATACTGCATGGCTTCACCTTTTAAGTTAATCACGGTAGAGAGAAAAACCTTTGTTCAAAACTATACATACCGTGGATATTTTGAAAGAAACATTTAAAAATTACCGAAAATACAAATCATTTGTGAATTATTATAGTCAAATTCCCTGAAATATGAAATCTTCTTTTCTGAACATTTTCAAAGAACATTAACTTTCCTCTTCTTGGAATGCCCCTCAGTTACAAATGGATGTTGTTAACTCAACAACCCCTTCAGGAAGCCTGCTAGTGACATTTGTGTGGCTGTTGTCCATGGTGGACTCTGAGCTGTGGGTAGCAGTGATGGAGGATAATCAGTCAAGGTACCTTTAAGTGCCTTGGGTTCAATCTCCAACACTGGGGAAAAAACAGGTTTCAGTTCAATAAAGGTAACATATTTGAAGGCATTTTTTTATTTGAAAAGAGTTTGTTCTAACACGTGTGGTACACATACCTGGAATCAAAATTTAGTTCATATTTAGTCAGTTTTCTTGTTAAAAAAACGAAGTGATAGAAGATTCTATAATCTGTTGCTACATTTATCTATCTGTCTATCTATCTATCTATCTATCTATCTATCTATCTATCTATCTATCTATCTATCTATCTATCTATCTACCTATCTATCTATGTATTTATTTATTTGTGTGTTTGCATCACACCTGTGCCATGATGTGTGTGTCTGTACACACAGAGGAAGTACCGAAGGAGTTATTCTCTTCTTCCACCATACGGGTCCTCATATTGAACTTGGGGTGCTACTCTTGGTGGCAAGCCCCTTTACCCACTGAGCCATCGCATCGGTCTCTGTTGCTGCTTTTAATTCGGCTTCTTTGACCATTTGGATTGATCTCTTTAGATCTGTTGTTCTTCTTTTAAGGTGAGATTGTCTTGTACAAAGATGTGGGTCAGTTTTATGAATGTTGAGCGTTACTGAAACTCACACAATTCTAATTAGATACCGAATGCCCAGTTAAACAATTCCAATGCTGTAGGCACAAACTTTCGGGGGATTTTTTTTTTTTTTTTTACAAGGCAGTCTCTACAAATATATTCACTTCTCTTTAGAATACAAGTTTTATGAGGGCCTTTGCTATCAGATTACCCTTTTTTATCGGAATGATATCAGTTAGCATGTAGCTTTAAAATGTGAATTTTATGGAGCAACTAGCTGTATGAAAAGCCAGGGCTGTAAATAGATGTGGTTTGCTGAGTGCAGCTTGGCCCTGAGCAGACGATGTGAGGAGCTATGACTTAACAAACCATGAACCTTGTGTTTTGCCGACTTTGATCTTCCAGTTGCAACCCTACAAATGCTTTG